AATTAAGGTTCATTCTATGGGTTCATTCAGTTCTATGGGTTTTGACAAATTCATAAGTCATGTAACAGCTATTACTGTATTACACAAAATAGTTTTTCTGCCCTAAAAATTGCCTGTTCTCCACCTGCTCTTTCCACACTTCTCCCAAACTCCTAAACACTACTAATTATTTTTTTCAGAATGTTGGAGTTGGAATTGCACAGTATTGTGCCCTTTTCACATTGACTTATTTTGCTTAGAAATATGCTTTTAGGATTATCCATTCCTTTTTTGATAGCTCATTTATTTTTATCACTGGATAATGTTCCATTGTATGAATATACTATAGAAAGATTATCCATTCACTTATTGAAGAACATGTTGGTTGCTACCAACTTTGGATAATTATGAATAAAACTTCTATAAACATTTGTATTCTGGTTTTTGTGTAGACATGTTTTATCTCATTCAGGTAAATACCAAAATGGACAATTACTGGATTGCATAGTAAAAGCATGTTTAGCTTTGTAAGAAACTGCCAGATTGTCTTCCAAAGTTACTCTTTCGTTTTGCACTCACATAAGCAATGCATGTGAGTCCTGCTGCTGCACATTCTGACCAACATTCTCACCAGCATTTGTTGCTGTCAGTCTTTTGAACTTTGGCCATTTGAGTAGGTATGTTAAAATTCAGTTACAATATCACCCAGCCTCTGTCCTCCCATCGTCCATTAGGTTATAATTACTAAGTGAAATTTTGAAATATGTAAAATTTCTTTTTGGTCCCCATCCATTTTCATTTATTTGATAATTTTTTTTTGCTTCATTCTTCTAGTATCTTTACTTTTACCATATCAGCTTTCATTTGTATTTCCTTTGCCTATTCTGTGCTTTAAACACACACACACACACCTTTTTCTTCCCAGAAAATATCATGCTAGGCTACTAAGCTGTTAAATGTTTACTAAAGCATATGATATTAAAAGATTATTTAAATCGAAGGGCTATTTGAAGTTCAGTAAGATACCGTTAACATTAGAAATGTTTTCAGAATCTTCAAAATGTATGTATAATATTACAAAATAACAGGCAGAAAAAATAACTTAGGGTACAAGTCCTCAGCTGAATCTAGAGAATTTAGTCACATACAGCCACAGCTGATGCAAAACATGGTTAATTCAGTTGTGCCCTTAACTTTAACCCCCAGCCTTTAAGTTCTTACTATGATCTCAAATATAGTGATCAGTTATTTTTAGTCTTATAAGTAATTTTCAAAGGATGCGTTTTCGCAACTGAATTTATATACTTCTTTGCAATAATTACCATGTAGTAACAATATAGTACATAAGTGGTGAATGGATGAATAAATTCTGAAGTCTATGTCTCTCAAAGGCATGAGTAATTCTCTGACTGCATCTGAACAATAGGGATTTAAAGATGAAATGAGAGTTCGGTGAGGTGGCTCATGCCTCTAATCACAGTACTTTGGGAGGTTGAGGGAGGAGGTTCATTTGAGTCCAGGAGTTCGAGACTAGCCCGGGCAACATAGTGAACCCTCCTTTCTACTAAAGAAGGAGAAGGAGAAGGAGGCAGAAGAAAAAGAAGAAAAAGAAGAAGAATGGCATCTGACTTTAGAGGAACATATAACCTTCATTTTATTTCATTTGTATTAGCTCTTTATTTTGAAGCATATCGTACACAATAATAATTATATCATAATATAAATGTAAGTATAATGTTTGATAAATTTTTGCACATGTACATACACTATCTACACCAAGCACACCCTAATCCGCAACATGTTCCATTGTTCCATTATGGTAAATATTATTCCCTAGAGATAACCATCTTTCTAGTTTTTAATACCAGCTTCAAAACGTCAATAATTTTCCAAAATCTAGTTTCCTAAATTTACAGTCTAATCCACAATGCAAGAACTGCGCAGTATCCTGAGAAATGTAAGACAATTCTAGCTGTTCCACATCTTTGACAATGCTTGTCACTTTTAGACTTTGACTATTATTCTGGACATGTAGTAATATCTAAGTATTAATTTAATTTAGTTTTTTTCTGATGACTAATGATACCGACCACCATTTTATATGTGTATTGGCCATTAGATATTCTCCTTTTCTAAAGTACCTACTCATGTATTTCATCCATTTTTAAGTGGGTTTGTTATATTCTAGCATCGATTTGTGGGAGCTTTTTGTGTATTTGGATATCGGTACTTTGAAAAGCTTAGGTTTGAAAATATTTTCTCCAAGCATGTGGTTTCTTTTTTCCACTTTAAAATATTGTTTAAATGTAAATAGAATATCTTAATATAAGACACAATTTATTAATATTCATATTTTATGTTTTATGCTTTTTTGTCCTAATTGAGAAACATTTGTTACCTCACATCTTATTCTCAATTTCTTTCTCATGTCTTTTCAGAACCTGTTCCATTTTTACAGACCATCCTAAATCAAAAGACAGTAGCTAACTTGAATATTTAATTCTCATTATTTCAAAAGAAAGCTATAAAATCACAGATAAACGGGTTGAATGACGTCAAGCTGCCTATTTTGCTTTGTTAGATCTTTTCTCAGTTGTGGGGCTGATGATCCTGTGATGCATTTTCTCTAGACCAGGTTATAGCTTTTCCTTGGAAGGAAATGTATTCTAAAGGTATTCTTTTAATTTCAGCACAAATCAATGCAATCTAACAACTAGAGATGTAACAGTATGATAAAATTGCGTCATACTAAAAGCATTACTTTCTCTAAATGGTTATATTAATTGTACTTCTTCTGACATAGACAGTCTTTCTTCAGACTATGATGCTATTTATCACTTAGGGAGTAAAAAAGTTTTCATGTGAAATTCTGTCATACTCAGTAAAAGTAACCAGTACAGTTCCGCAATGGAGACACTAAGATATTTTTACCGAGGTCTATTTATTGTGAAACTACAACATCTCACTGGAATTGAATAAAAGAATTGGTCATAGTTTCTGGCTAAGCAAATCCATCCATATGCTCAGTAAACAAGTCAGAGTTTTTCAAATGCTTACGATTTTTTTTAAATGTTAAAATATTGGATTTTCATTATTGACTAGTTGTTTTTACATGGATAAAGCTAAATTAGAAATTGCTATGTTCAAGATTCTACAACAGAGTGTTTACAAATGAAAATAAATAGAGGTGGTCCTTTGGCTGTGATAATTAAACTCCTCAGACACACATGAGCCTTCAAGGTACTTTATGTGACAGCACACAAGAAGAGAAGCACAAAATGAATGGGATGGTGAGCATGGGGAAGTAGAATGCCTGATATTCAGAAAAACTGGGCTCTGGTCTGGGTTCTCCCTCTCACACCATTTTTGATCCTTAGCAAATGATTTCACTTTTTGGAGTTTTTTTTTTTTTTCCCTCATTCAAGGTGGTAATAGGGTAAGCACTGGGAAAGCTTTACAATAGTACCCCTACATGCTCCACAGTTCTTTTATATTATTTTCCTGGTATTTTTGAATTTGCTTGACTGTTTCAGTACTGAAATATATTATCCTTGAAAAATATGTAATAAAATATTACATAAAATAAAATATGTAATATTTTATTTTATATGCATAAATATAAATATTTTATATGTATACATATAAAATAAAATATTATATATTTTATTTTATGTAATATTTTATTTTATATGTAATATTTTATTACATATTTTTCATAGGCACATACTATTTGAAATAGCAACGCAAAAAGTTCTATGTTTGCTTGTTGGAGGTTAAAAGACTTGGCTAGAGTGTTTAAAGCTTCAGGTCAGTCACAGCCTTAATATTAATTACTTCACAAGTGATGGCAGTGATTTCTGTATTTCCTTCGTGTATTGCAAAATATTTAAAGGTACTGATAATATGAAAGAACAATTTCACGTCACACCACAATGAACCAGGAAGAAAACATGATAGAAAGTCACAAAAAGTTCCTTTTGAATGTATATTCAGATATATGCTTTGTCTTATCACTGCTTTTCTAACCATTAAAGAGGCCAAATAAACATACATTTTGAACAAATGGTAGGAGTACATGCTGTTCATGTTGGTCTCCATTTAGATATTAAAGTTTATAAAGTTAATATTTCAGGACTGAATTTAAACACAGACATTATCTAACTGAGAGCACTGAAATGAAAAAGCTATGGTCAATATGATTCAGTGTTCCAAAGAAAAAAGCTTCTTTTCAATTGAGTGTTACAGTTTTCATTTGTGCACATGTACACTTTACCTTTGTACAGCATGGATTTGGACTGAGCAAATGTACTCATACTCAGATTTTGTTCTACCTCTGCCACTCCTGAGACAGCAAGAGCAATGCCCCCTTTCCTCCTCCTCCTTGGCCTATTCAATGTGAAGACAATGACGATAAAGACATTTATGATGAGCTGCTTCCACTTAACAAACAGCAAAAATAAATTCTCTTCCTTATCATTTTAATAACGTTTTCTTTTCTCTTGTTTACTTTATTGTAAGAATACAATATATAATGCATATAAAGTGCAAAGTATGTGTTAGTCAACTGTTTATGTTATCATTGAGGCTTCCAGTCAACAGGCAGCTACCAGTAGTTAGGTTTCTGGAGCATCAAAAGTTATATGTGGATTTTCAACTTCATGGGGGATTCAGTACCCCTAACTCCTAACTCATACACTATTTGAGGTCAACTGTGACCTTTGAATGCAGATATATACATGCATACACATACAGCTATATAGATAGGTGCATGTATATACAAAATTCAATATATATAATATACTCTATATGTATAGTAGTTTGTTCTTTTTTTATTGGGTATAATTACAAATAACCACTTTGCCATTTTGAGTCAAGCATAAAATAAAAGCCATGTAGTTGCTTTAAGGTGGCATAATTTATTGTAAAAGAAACAGAGAAACCCCACAGCTATAAAGGTAGAAATAAGACACATCCAGGGACATGAAGCAACGAATTATGGAATGATAGATATTCTTAAAACTCTTAGATGCTAATTGCCCTTTATCTTGGATTGATCCAGGGTGACCTTGTTTGTTTGTTAGTGCAGTCAATATTGCAGTTGGGTGACCTTCTTATGGCCTCTCATGTTTGATTGTCAAGGAAGGATTTCAATAATATCCAGAGAATCCATATCCTGCATAGCATGATGGGTGGCAGCTGCGGTATCCATAGCCTCCGAAGCCAGAGCCGTATCCGTAGCCTCCATAGCCACAGCCATAGCCATAGCCCCGTCTGCGGAAGCTGCCACATCCACAGCCATAGCCCAGGCCGCCGAAGCCTCCACAGCCATAGCCCAGGCCGCCGAAGCCTCCACAGCCATAGCCCAGGCCTCCGTAGTAGTTGCCGTAGTAGCTCATAGTGTCAAGAGTGGTGAGCTGGTTTGCTGCTCAAGGCAATATCCTGAGTGTGAATGCCAGCCCGTGTAGAAGGAGGCTTATATACCCTGGTCAGAGCATGTGATGAGTCACCTGCATACCCTACTTTTCTGCAGTTATTTGTATTACGTTTGATGTTCCAACTGGTATATCTGTTGTCTCCCGATGCAGAGAGAGGCCCTCATTCTCATTAAAATATTTCAGCTTACTTAATATCTTATTCAGGACATGCTTGATCTTACATGCTTTGCTTTTATGAGAAGAAATGGCTGACTGTTCAAAATATGCACATTCCAAATGCTAAACTGAATTGCCTATTACCAGGTATATTACATCATCTACACTTTATGGTATTCCTTTTATAATTAATCGTTTCCTTTGTCTGTCATCTTCCCAACTGATAACTTTACATTCAACTAAGTTTATAGCTATTTCTTTCAATGTACAGATGTTGAATCTGTAATTTTAAAAAAGAAAACTTATTTATCAAGGTGAGGTCTTCAGAAAGTGCCTATATTCACAATACATGAAAACATTTCAAATCAAAATGACTTTAATGCCCTGCTGGGTACAGTAGCTGAAGGACTCAAAAAAAGAGAGCATATGTTGATTTTTAGCATTTTATTCACAATTGCTTTTATGCTATTTTTGGCTTTGCACACCAGCTTCAGAACCTTTTGGTTGCAATATATGTAAGAATTAATTTTAGAAATTGAGGGCACAAAATCCAGCTCCTATGCAGGCTTATCAGAGTAGCAGTTCAGTTTTCCATTCAGATCCCAAAACTCTGCTTTATAATTGGTTTTATTCAAAGTCCGACTAAAACTGCAGATTGCATCTGCCTCTGTTCTTGCATACTCCAGCCAATTACTTTCTTTCTTTATCCTTTTTCAGTAGTGTATATATGACCTCAATTTTCATTCTCATTTCATCCCTTTAGGGATGTTTCCTCACCTGTACTATAGGGGGCAGCACGATACAATCTATAATTTAATATTTGGTCCAGCTCTCATTTCTTTTGTCCTTATATTACTGAATTTCACTAGCTCAAACAAACAAACAAACTCTTATGCTAATACCTGAATATGCCACTCAATTTTGTAAAAAGCAACACATTTTTTGATCTTTTGTATATTCTATTACATGAAATACCAATAATTAAATACTTGTTTTCATGGTTTTGGGTTTTATACATAAGTCTTAATCCATCTTGAGTTAATTTTTGTTTAAGATGTAAGGAAAGGGTCCAATTTCATTTTTCTGAACATGGCTAGCCAGTTTTCCAAGGATCATTTATTAAATAGGGAATCTTTTCCCTATTGCTTATTTTTGTCAAGTTTGTCAAAGATCAGGTGGTTGTAGATGTGTGATGTTATTTCTGAGGTCTCTGTTTTGCTTCATTGGTGTATATATCTGTTTTGGTACCAGTACCATGCTGCTTTGGTGAATGTATCCTTGCAGTATAGTTTGAAGTCAGTAGCATGATGCCTCCAGCTTTGTCCTTTTTGCTTAGGATTGTCTTGGCTATACAAGCTCTTTTCTGGTTCCATATGAAATTTAAAGTAGTTTTTTCTAATTTTGCAAAGAAAGTCAATAATAGTTTGATGGGAATAGCATTGAATCTATAAATTACTTTGGGCAGTGTGGCTATATTGATATTTTCTATAATGAGCATGGGATGTTTTTCCATTTGTTTGTGTCTTCTCTTATTCCTTGAGTAGTGGTTTGTAGTTTTCCTTGAAGAGGTCCTTCAAGTCCATTGTAAGTTGTATTCCTAGCTATTTTATTCACTTTTTAGCAATTGTGAATGGGAGTTCATTCATAATTTGGGTCTCTACTGGTCTGTTGTTGGTGTACAGGAATGCTTGTAATTTTTGCATATCGATTTTGTATCCTGAGAACTTGCTAACGTGGCTTATCAGCTTAAGGAGTTTTGGGGCTGAAACAATGGGATTTTCTAAATATAGAACCATGTTACATGCAAACAAAGACAATTTTACTTCCTCTCTTCCTATTTGAATAGGCTTTATGTCTTTCTCTTGCCTGACTGCTCTGGCCAGAACTTCCAATACCATGTCAAATAGGAACAGTGAGAAAGGGCATCCTTGTTTTGTGCCAGTTTTCAAAAGGGATGCTTCCAGCTTTTGCCCATTTAGTGTAATATTGGCTATGGGTTTCTCGTAAATATCTCTTATTATTTTGAGATATGTTTCATCACTACCCAGTTTATTGAGAGCTTTTAACATGAAGGCTAAGGGAGAAATAGCAGCAGGTGGGGAGATGGGGAGAGATAACATTAGGAGAAATACCTAATGTAGGTGACAGGGGGATGGAGGCAGCAAACCACCATGGCATGTGTATGCCTATGTAACAATCCTGCAACATCTGCTCATCTACCCCAGAACTTAAAGTATAGTAAAAAAAGAAAAGAAAATACAAAAATTAGCTGGGTGTGGTGGCACATGCCTCTAATCCCAGCTATGCGGGAGGCTGAGGCAGAAGAATGCCAAATAATGCCTCTAGGAGGTGGCAGTTTCAGTGAGCCATAATCCAGCTACTGTGCTCCAGTCTGGGTGACAGAGGGAGTGAGACACTATCTCAAGATAAATAAAAGACTTCTAAGAAAGAAAACTGCTGTTTTAAAAGAAATAATACTAATTTTACAGTTTTTCTCAATCTGCAAATTCAAAAAGCAAAAGCAAATGAAAAATTGGAAAATAAAATGCAAAAATATTAACAATAGTTTCAGAAAACATAAAATACAGGTAAATATAACAAAGACCTATTTCTTAATAATTAAAAATTAATGCTTGAAGAAATTCATAAGAACTGTTAAAATGAGGGTATATCACATCTATGTATTAACAACAGACTAAATATTCCCAAATCATTTTTTAATGAAATCCTAATCAAACTGCTTGTATATTTACAAAATACTCTAAAATGTATAAAGAAATCTAAAGTGCATAGAGAACACAATGCAATCTTTAAAAAATAACAAAGTTTGACAAGTTATATTCACTGATGTCCAGACTGATTAAACTAGAATTATCAAGAGAGTGTAATATTGATGTGTGGATACACAAATAGATCAATGGGAAAAATTCCAGTCTAGAATTAGACTTTTTTCCACAAAGACTCTAAAGCAAACAAAAGACTTCATCAAAATGGTGCTAAAACAATGAAATATGAACATGGAACAAGAAAAAAATTATACTTAATAACTACTTAATACTATTACATAGAAATTAATTCAAAATGTACTACAGCTCTAGCATAATATCTAAACTGCTAAAGCTTCTAGAATTTTATAGGTCACTGAAGGCACTGACTATAAAATGAAACATTGTGAAATGTATTTTATTAACAGGAAAGCACAGATTAGGAGAATTTAAAAAGTAAGAATATATAAATTGATATGGATACAGATATAGATATCTCATGTAAAGATCTCCTACAACCTAATTGTCAATATAAAACCATCCCAATTATGGGCACACTGAAAGCAAGATATACAAATATCCAATAAATAAAAAGTATCTAAAATCATTAGCTATCAGAATTATCAGGAAAATGTGAATTAAAACTACATTTAGATAACACTACTCACCCATTAGAAGTGCTAAGATGAAAAAAAAGCCATTTTATTTTTACTTAATAAGCTATGATTTACATTAATCATTATTTATCAAATTTCCCACCAGGTTAATTTTCAAATGTTTCTAACATGCATTAGTGCAATTTTCAACTCCTTTACCATGATAATGCATTTTATTATGACTTTCTGTTATATTCCCAAAAGAGTGAATCCAAGGTTTTGGTACATAGCATCATACTTCAATACATTCTGTTAACATGCTTAATTTAAAGCAATAAAGCAGTGAAGATAACAAGTCCATGGGAACGGAAAGCAGTCCCCAGAAGTGCTGGCTAATGAGCAGATTACATTATCCTCACCCTATGAATGACTCACAAAGCAGCTAATCAAAACAAAATAGATAGTTGGGAATGTGTGATAGGGTTATTGTGTAACAGGGTTATTGGACTCCAGTTTTGTGGTATAATATGAAGCTTCACATAGCTCTTTGATATAAATTTTCCTTCAGTCATTCAGAATAATATGGATGCAACCAGAGGCCAGTGGCCAAATAAAGTTGTGATCAAGACTATTTATAATCCCAACCCAGGGATTTTAGCACCTAAACATTATTGCCATAAATTGGAGTTCACACCAACATAAATTTTGGTTAAAGACTGAAAAAGTCATTTAAGTCATATTTACTGTCAAATATATACCTTCAGTGATAAATGTTCTTGGGACTGGAAATCTGGGAGAAGGAGAATAGCAACAGGGAGAGACCAGTTATGTCTCTCCTTCAAACTCAATCTATGATATTTGTTTTTTGTTCATTTAACAATAGGAATAAATGTCATCCTCAGGAAGAAAAACAGTTGCCTTCATTTCAAATATCATAAAATAGGAAAAACTTATTAAGATACATGACTAAAGTTAAGACCATATTGCAATGTCGTATCAAACACATCTGTTGGAAAATGATTATAGAGGTATTTCCCAATATAAAATACACCACAGAAAATCCAGATTAAAAATTGGTACCTTTGAGAATGAAAGGAGAAATGACTGTTGTAGGAAAATATCCAATATTTATTAATAAAACCAAATTGCTATTGAACAGCTGGATATACACAGGCAGCTATTGAGTCTTATGCCAACAACCTTGTAAACCAATGATTCATCTTCCCTGTCTGCTATGAGCAGGGGATATATTTGATAGGACAAAACTTCTGAAGAGTTGTATTTTGTCATTGGATCATTTCCCCAAGAATCTTAAGTCCCAACTCCTAGTAAAAAGCAAAGGCCCAGTATCTTCCATAACAATTTGGGTGGCAGCATTGTATCCATAACCACCATACCCAGAGTCATAGCCACGCCCTGCACTGCAGAATCTGCCACACCCACAGACATTGCCATCATAGTCACCAATGCCAGACCGCAGCCC